CTACAGGTAATCCTCATGCCCACCACTGTCATTAAACCCACAATCATCCTTGCCACCCCTCCTTATGGTCTCTGTGGCCTCTGCCTGGAAAGTTCTTCCCATTCTGCTCTCACTTGGCAAATGCCTTCTCCTTTAAGACCCAGCAGTCCAAATGATGATAGGTAAACCCTTTGCAAGTGCTTGCTTTGTGCTTTGGATCACATTATTGCTTTATAAAGACTATTTAATTAAATTCTCAAAAGAAAAAAAAATCCCTATAGAGTAGGTCTCCTAATAAACCCAATTTTACAGATGAGGAAACTGAGGCAAAGTGCACCTCAGTAACTGATCCATGGCCATACTGCTGAGATATATGTATATTTTTTCTTTTTTCTTTTTTTTTTTTTTTTTTTGAGACAGGGTCTCACTGTCACCTGTCACCCAGGCTGGAGTGCAGGGGTGCGATCATAGTTCACTGCAGCCTTGAACTCCTGGGTTCAGGTGATTCTCCCACCTCGGCCTCTCAAGTAGCTGGGACTACAGCTGCGTAACACCTAACACCACAGCCGACTAATTTTTTATTTTGTGTAGAGACAGGATTTCACTATGTTTCTCAGGCTGGCCTCAATCTCCTGGCTTAAAGAGATGCTCCTGCCACAGCCTCCCAAAATGCCGAGATTACAGGTGTGAGCCATCACACCCAGCCTGGGATGTGTTTTCTGTGTCTCCTGACAAGAGGACTCACAGCATGAGGCTGAAGCTATGGTTGTCTCTGCGACCCTGGAGCCTAGGGCAGTGCCCACGACACTGTAGTTACTTTGTAAATATTTGTAAAACAAATTTAAAAAAATACTGCCTCCTTCCATCGTTACCTCAGCCAGTGCCCAAGCAATAAATCCGCCCTCTCCCTCTGCTCTCCTCCTCCTCCTCTCCCTCCTCCACAAGGCTGCCTCATCTCCTTCCCCCACCACTTCCTCCTTCTCTCTTTTCCTTCTGTCTCCTCCCCCACTCCTCCCCCTCCCACCACCTCCTCCTCCTACTCTCCCTACCCCTCCAACACCACCTCCTTCTCCTTCTCCTTCTCCTCCTTTTATCCTTTCCCCCACCACCTCCTCATCCTCCTCTTCTTCCCCCCAACCACCACCTCCTTCCCCTCCTCTTCTTCGCCCCGCCCCGCTCTCCTTCCACGGGGCCTGGGACCCCTTTCCTGTTCTGTCACCTGGAAGTACTCAGCAACCCCTAAGGCCAGCCCTGGCCTGCTGTTGATTAAGCAACAGGAGTACCAAGGAATGCACTGTTCCTGTTTGTTGAGCCTTTTTATTTGGCAAAATCATGGAGGGAGCTCTCTCAGCTGCCAGACTTGGCTCGCGCAAAGCCTCTCCCTCACAGCTGCTCTCCTCCTCCCTTCCTCCGGGTCAGTTTCTGGATCCCTCCTTCCTCTCTGCTCCCCTCCCTGCGTTCTTCCCACTCCTCCTGTGCCCTGGATCTCTCTCCCACTTTCTCTCCGGGTTTCGCTCCCTCTTTTCTTCTCTCCTTCCCCTTTCCTCCCACTCCTCTGTCCTTCCCCGCAGCCCCTTTGGCGCTTTAGCTTTGGCTGGTCTCTTCTGCCATCTCCACCAGCGCGGCCTCTCCTCTCCCGAGTTCCGCGCTGCTCCGGACCCGGCCTCCTCACACTCCCCGGGGAGGCCCTTGGCTGCCCCGCTGCCTCCTCCCTGCGTCAGCGCCTCCCGCCCTGGAGGCCCGCGCCGGGCCCCTAGCTCCTCCGAAGGCTCCTTACGGCCGCTCACCCCACACGCGGCCCGCCCCCTCCCTCTCTCCCTCCCGGGGCGGCATCCCGGGCAGCCCCGCAGCTCTGCCTCCCCCGACTGAGGCAGTCAGGAAAAAAAAAAATCACTGCGTCCCGGAGCGGGGCGGGAGGCGCTGCCTGCCCCAGCTGCTGCCCCCGACACACTGCAGGCGGCCTGGAGGCCCGGAGGCCGAGCGGCCTACGCCCTGGGGGCCCGCCGACCGCAGCGCGCGCCCGGAGTCCCAGCACTGCCCGCCGCTCCGCCGGCGCCCCCGGGCGGGAGGAGGATGCGGGACCCGCAGGGAATTCATTCCTGCCCCAGCCCTGGCCGCCCTTCTGGCGGCGGAATGGCGGGCGAAACCTGCTGCCACCCGAGCAGAAGCTGAGGGGAGACGCTAGGCAGCATCGGGGCGACGGCGGCCAGAGGGCGCGGAGCTAGGAGCACAAAGAACCGGCTGCTGCCGGGCGAGACGGCGGGAAGCTTTCGGAGCCGCCACCGAAGCTTCCAGGAGAGCCCTCGGAGAGGTCGCCCCATTCTTTTCTTCCGTGAACACCTAACTGCCAGCCCCGATGGGCCAGGCACGGGGTGCCAGAGATCAATAAAATGGGGTCTCTGCCCTCGGGACCCCATGTGTGAATACTGTGTGATAAATGAAATCACAAATCGTGGGAAATTGTGAAAGGAATCACGTTCTGTGCACATATGCGACAAACAACGCATTTCACGTGTATTATATTTTCAGTCCTCATCTGTTCAGAGTTACTATTATCCCACCTCACAGAGGAGGAAACTGAGGCTCAGTTGTTTAACTTTATTGCTCAGAGTAACACAGCTAATAGTAAAGAAAGCGGGAATTCTTAAACTGCCTGATGGACTCCAAAGTGGACTTTACTGCTTTCTACTGATAGAAGGTATCATGGATGCTAAACTCTGTTAGGGGGTGAGACCCCAGTGGTTTCTGAGGGAGTTCAAGACCAGCCTGGCCAACATGTAAGCTAAGTCCTTGCTTACAAAGAAGACACACCCTGTGTATGTGCACCTGCTTAGTTTTCATAGAGGAGACTGCATTTTTAACTGGTGCCCAAGGCCCAAGTCTCCTTCCCAAATGAATCTCTTGCTCCCCAAAGTCTCCACTCATGTCAAACAGCCATGCCTAGTGTTCCTTCAGCATACCAACTATGCTCCCATCTTCAGGACTTTACTCTTATCCTTCCCCTTCCTCCAGGGACTTTTCTCTCTGCTTTCCTCATATTTTTTTCAGCCCACATTTATTAGAATCCAAATAATGTCCCAGTTTGTCAATAAAGCTTTTCTAGCATCCCCAGGGATTTTTCCTGCCTCTGAGCCCTCCAGTTCTTGTTTTCAGCACCAGTCATTGCTTTACGTTGTTGCATCATTTACAGACATGCTGTCTTCTAGACTTGAGGATCTTAAAGACAAGGACCATGTCTGATTTCTCCTCCTCTATCTTCTGCACATAGCACACACTTTGCAAATGTGGTTAATTATAATGATGCTGGTTATAAGTGATACAAAACACTAGAATTTCTAGCCATAAGAAAAGAGCATGGATTCAGAAGTTAAACTGAGCCAGATTCAAATCCTGCTGCCTCCATTTACTAATGATGTGACCTTGGGAATCTCTCTGAACTCCTCTGACTCTCAAGTTTCTCGTAGATAAAATGGGAACAATGTGCAGAGCGCGGTGGCTCATGCCTGTAATCCCAGCACTTGGGGAGACTGAGGTGGGCGAATTACATGAGGTCTGAAGTTCTAGACCAGCCTGGCCAACATAGTGAAACCCTATCTCTACTAAAAATACAAAAAATTAGCCGGGTGTAATGGGTACCTGTAATCCCAGCTACTTGGGACACTGAGGCAAAAGAATCACTTGAAGGATTTTTCTGAAGGGAGGTGGAGCTGAGATCACACCACTGCATTTCAGCCTGGGCAACAGAGCGAGACTCTGTATCAAATAAATAAATAAAATACAAAATAAATGGAAAAATGATAGGGTTATTGGAAGGGTCTAATGAGGTAATGCTTAGCACAGTGTAAAAATACACGCTTAGCACAGTGTGTATTTAGTATATCATACACACTGAATAGTTGGGTTTTTTTTTTACTACTGTTAATAAAAATGGGAAAAAATGACTAGAGTTTGCTAATTGTTCCAAAGAGCATTTGTTTAATAAAAGTCTGTCACACATTATGAAATTATCTGTCAAAGAATTTCACATTAAAGATTAGTAGTTCTGGAGACTTCAGCACACTTCAGTGAAATTCCATAGCTCTGAGATTTCACTACCCAATGCCAATATCTGTGACCCTTGCTCAAGGTTACCAAAGTATGCTAATATGAACAGTCATTACTTTGTTTCCAGGATTTGAAATGACACTCAGAGCTAACTCAGTCTTCTAGAATGTTGGAGCTGGGAGTTACTCTAGGGACAGCCCTTGTACTGTAAACAAGGGAGCAAGAGCCCTGACAGTCACCTGGCAGGTAAGTGGCAGAGCAGGAATTTTTAACTTCAATATCCCAACCTCTAGTTCAGAGCTACGCATAACCACACCTCACTGGCTCCTTGCAGAAAGAGTAACTCTGGGGAACTCATGCCCCATAGACCAGGAACACTGGGATTTGATCTCCTCCAAGTGTGTATTCCCATGAGCTCCACTGAGTGACCTTTGTTATAGACTGCAGGAAGAAGGGTATGACTTGTTTAATAGCTGTTAAATGTAAAACTATTCTCTTGCTAAAACCTTTGGCCTCCTCCAGTGGCTGCTGTCTAAAGACTCCATTTTCTGAGAGTGAGAATAGTTAACGCTCAAAGATGCTAAACAACAGTTGCAGTCTGCATCTTCCCTCCAGTGTTCCTACTCAGCACTTGAATCCAGCCTCTACGCTGGAACTCAGGTAACCTCACTGCTTTGAAAGGTAGCTCTGGGGAATATTAAAAAGTCACCAAATCTCTTGGGACTCACATGCAGAGACACTTCGTATATGGAAGCAAACGGGATGAAAAAGGCTACACAGAAGCATACCATGCTCCTGACACATTGTGGGCTCCAATATATGGGCTCACTGCTATGATTTCATCTGAGAAGAAAGCAATGAAGAGAAATAAGTGTTGAGTGAATGACTAATTACCAAAGGTATAATTCAATAGTCAGTCACAGCACCATCAGTCATTTCTGAGCAACTAAAATTTCACAAACAGAATCATTACCCACCTGGCTTACAGGGCAGAGCTTGGCTCCTGTCTCAATATTCTGGAGCTTTCTCAGATGACAGATTGTAGGAGTTCCTGGCATGTAGAACTCACAATAAAATTTGCCCAGAGGTGCATCTTGCCTGAATCAAATTTAACTGTCATGTGGTTCCCTTGAAGGCACTTGGCAGGGAGGATCCATCCCTGTGGAATAGAAACATGCCTTGATTCATAAGGAAGCCCCATCAAATTCAAGAATAAAGTTTCCTTCCATCCCTCACATTCCATAAACTCAGCCATAACTCTTATCCTGAGAATCTGGCAGTGTGACCTCATCACAGCCTTGCCCTTACCATGTCCCCACACATGTGACACCTGAGCCTTTCACTCGTGATTCATGGCTTACACCCCTTGTAGGACAATACTGAGCACCGACCACCACACTGGCTTACGTTGCAAGCTCCAGAATCTATGATGCCATCTCCTCTAGACACAGTGATGTGTGCAGTTCCTCCCAAGCTAACTCTCTAGCTTATAGTATTGCAACTATAAACATACAGAATCCAGGCTGGGTGCGGTGGCTCACACCTGTAATTCCAGCACTTTGCGAGGCCAAGGCAGGCAGATCATTTGAGGTCAGGAATTTAAGACCAACCTGGCCAACATGGTGAAACCCTCCCTCTACTAAAAATACCAAAAAAAATGAGTCAGGCATGGTGGTGCACACCTGTAACCCCAGCTACTCGGGAGGCTGAGGCACAAGAATCACTTGAACCCAGGAGACGGAGGCTGTACTGAGCCAAGATAGTGCCACAGCACTCCAGCCTGGGTGACAGAAAGAGATCCTGTCTCAAAAAAAAATGTACAGAATCCCAGGCAGACCCATTTGTTGAGCACTCACAATGTGCCAGGGACTTAGCTAAACATTCTGTAAGCATTAACTAATTCCATTCTCCCGATAGCCAAGTGAGGTATATTTTATATGCTAATTTTATATGTGAGGAAACAGAAGCTCAAAGATCAAGTGACTGGCCCAAGGTCACACAACTAACAAGTGGCACAGCAAAATTAGTACCCAGATGTGGCTAACTCCAAATATCCAGCTGGTAGCCTCTGCACTCCACAGCAGCCTCTATCATGTTGTTTTTCATTGCTGAGGGACAGCTCTGCATACTCATGAACACCAAGCAGCCAGTACTGGAGACAGCTGGAACTGGTCTAGCCAGCTCACTCATCCATCTGTTCATCCTTCTAGCAGATGTTGATACCTGCTGTGGGCCAGGCCTGTGGCAGGTGCTGGGGATTTAAAATAAATAGCACAGGAAGGGGTCCAGTTTCTGCTTTCTGCACATGGCTAGCCAGTTTTCCCAACACCATTTATTAACAGGGAATCCTTTCCCCATTGCTTGTTTTTGTCAGGTTTGTCAAAGATCAGATGGTTGTAGATATTGTGTTGCCTCCGAGGCCTCTGTTCTGTTCCATTGGTCTATATCTCTGTTTTGGTACCAGTACCATGCTGTTTTGATTACTGTAGCCTTGTAGTATAGTTTGAAGTCCGGTAGTGTGATGCCTCCCGCTTTGTTCTTTTTGCTTAGAATTGACTTGGCTATGTGGGCTCTCTTTTGGTTCCATATGAAGTTTAAGGTGTTTTTTTCCAGTTCTTTGAAGAAGGTCATTGGTAGCTTGATGGGAATAGCACTGAATCTGTAAATTACTTTGGGCAGTATGGCCATTTTCATGATATTGATTCTTCCTAACCATGAACATGGAATGTTTCTCCAGCTGTTTGTGTCCTCTCTTATTTCATTGAGCAGTGGTTTGTAGTTCTCCTTGAAGAGGTCCTTTACCTTCCTTGTTGTATTCCTAGGTATTTTATTCTCTTTGTAGCAATTGTGAATGGCAGTTCGTTCTTGATTTGGCTCTCTTTAAGTCTGTTATTGGTGTATAGTAATGCTTGTGATTTTTGCACATTGATTTTGTATCCTGAGACTTTGCTGAAGTTGCTTATCAGTTTCGGGAGATTTTGGGCTGAAACGATGGGGTCTTCTAGATATACAATCATGTCGTCTGCAAATAGAGACAATTTGACTTCCTCCTTTCCTATTTGAATACCCTTTATTTCTTTTTCTTGCCTGATTGCTCTGGCTAGAACTTCCAGTACTATATTGAATAGGAGTGGTGAGAGCGGGCATCCTTGTCTAGTGCCAGATTTCAAAGGGAATGCTTCCAGTTTTTGCCCATTCAGAATGATATTGGCTGTTGGTTTGTCGTAAATAGCTTTTATTATTTTGAGATACGTTCCGTCCATACCTAGTTTATTGAGGGTTTTTAGCATAAAGGGCTGTTGAATTTTGTCAAAGGCCTTCTCTGCATCAATTGAGATAATCATGGGGCATAGAAATCCTGCCCTTAGCATGAGGATTTTAATGGCAAACAAGGACTTATTCTGGAGGCTGCTCAGCCTGTTGCCCATGTATGTTCACTTATACCAACAGATCATGTTTTCAGGGAGCTCTGGGTTACTGAGCTGGGCTTTTGGGGCCTGAGTCATGCAAAGTCCAGAGCACAGGGCCAAGTAGCACTGCTGTTGACACCATGCTCAGTATTTATCCCAAGGGAACTTCAAACTGGAGTAATCCAAAACTTCTCATTTTCACTTGTCTGGAATTGCTCTTTGGCTATACCTTTGAATGACCCAGTAATAGCAATTTTTCTAACCCATCATAATTCACATAAAAGTAGTTTGTGTTCCTTCAGTTACTGGCTTAATCTGATATAGAAGGCCTGGAGGGCCATGGAGAAATTCCCAAATACCTCCTAACACTCCTCGCAGTTTTTTCCTCCTCATGGGAAATGAATGAGGTAGATAATTGTGACTGAACCTTGTGCTGAAGTCACACCACATCTGTGTGCACCCTTCCAGAAGCTCTACTTCTTACAACAGGTGGAACATGAAGGAGGTGCAAGATTTCTGTAATAACTTCTCCTTGTCCAGCAATTATATTCATTTACACACTTTAAGTATTCTTGTTAAGGACGGAGAAAGCCTGTCCCCTGGGACTGCCCATTCCAACAGGGAAACACTCCGGTTTCTTCCCCCAGGGAGGTAAAGAACCTTGATCGTGCTCATAGAACTTGGCCATGGTCGTGCACGGTGGCTCACGCCTATAATCCCATCACTTTGGGAGGCCAAGGTGGGCAATCACCTGAAGTCAGGAGTTCAAGACCAGCCTGGCCAACATGGCAAAACCCCGTCTCTACTAAAAATTTAAAAATTAGCCGAGCGTGGTGGTGCATGCCTGTAATCCCAGCTACTTGGGAGGCTGAGACACATGACTTGCTTGAACCCCGGAGGTAGAGGTTGCAATGAGCTGAGATCACGCCACTGCTCTCCAGCTGGGCAACAGAGTGAGGCCCTGTCTCAAAAAAATAAAAATAAAAATAGAACTTGGCCAGAAAAAGCTTGGCCAGAGCAGGGAACTGACTTCTATGTTTACCCACTAAGACCAACTAGACCATCCCAGCTAATCCTATTCAAACTTCCAGAACAACCCCACCTTTGATGACAAACTGAAAAACAGTACAGATTGCATCTGAATGTTGCTCAGTAACACTTTCCATAGAGAAAAAAGATGAACAAAGACTATTCCTTTGACTTGTCTCTAGGTCGTTGTGCCTGAAATAGCCATCTCATTCCTTAAAGAAAAGAATCTATGTTGGCCTACACCAGAGAAGATATATCCCTGATATTGGCAAGACCCTAAACAGAGGCTTCTTATAAGGGTAAACACATATTAATCAAAAAGCATTATGTTCGCTGATGGGGAAATGTCATTATGAACAAGGTGGGGTAATAGGTTTTCACTTTTCCTAGTTTTATTCCTTTTGTGTACAAGTGGTTTTATGCTGTGCTGGCTTAAGACAAGATACTCCAAATGGTTTTTGCCCCTGCAAGTGTGTACAGTCTGTTCATTCCTGCCTACTTGAATGAGCCTAAATGCAGATACCCAAATACAGGTCCCAACAAGCCTGCCTCCTCCAGGAAGTCTGCTGTAATTTGTGTACCAGATTTTTTTCAAGCCTTTTTAGGATGCACCCTTGAAACCTTAGTTAGAGAGCATTAATGGCCTGATATGACTTCAAAATAGGATAAAATCACCATGAGAGGAAAAATATCTTTTGTCCATTAGATGAGAAGGCAGATGAAAAACTGGAATTGTCAAATGACTTTTCAAAAACAGCTTGACTGTCAATCGGTGGCCTTTTCCATGAAACTACTAAACATATACAACTGTAGCTTAGTATTCCTGTGCAAAGTAGCAATATACTACTGATATTTCTGTTACTTGTCTGCCAGCTATTTAAAAAATTGTAAATGATGGTACATTCTTTCAAGGGAACACATTTTACTTCTAAAACTTATTCTAAAGAATTAACTATAGCTGGCTGGGCATGGTAGCTCACATCTGTAATTCCAGCACTTTTTGGGAGGCCAAACGGATGGATCACTCGAGAACAGCCTGGCCAACATGGTGAAACCCCATCTCTACTAAAACAAAAATTAGCTGGGTGTGGAGGCACACACTTGTAATCTCAGCTACTTGGGAGGCCAAGACAGGAGGATTGCTTGAACCTGGGAGGCAGAGGCTACAGTGAGCCAAGATTGCACCACTGCACTCCAGCTTGAGCAACAGAGTAAGACTCTCTCAAAAAAAAAAAAAAAAAAAAAAAAGGAATTAATTGTAGCTGCCCACAAACATTCCATTGTGATAATATTTTTATATAACAGAAAAAAGTAGGGACACACATAAGTAAATTATAAAAAGTAGGGACACACGTAAGTAAATTATGTAAGTAGGACACACGTAAGTAGTGTATCCACTGGAGAATACCACACAGTCATTAATAATCACATTTAATAATATCTAAAAATATGGCAAATTATTCGTTATGTGTTGTTAGATTTTAAAAAGCTATATGGAATGCATATTATCCCAGTTTTGCACATGAAAGATGTTTACTGCATAAATACAAGGAAATTCTGACATTTACAACAAGATGGATGAATCTGGAAGATACTATGCTAAGTGAAATAGGCCAAATGCAGAAAGACAAATACTGCATGATCTCACTTACATGTAGTATCTAAATTAGTTGAACTCATACAAGCAGAGAGTAGAATGGTGGTTACCAAGGCTAGTGGGAGGGGGAAATGGGTAGATGATGATTAAAGGGTACCAAGTTTCAGTTATGAAAGATAAATAAGCTCTGGAGAGCTAATGTACAGCATGGTGACTATTGTTAGCAATACTGCTTTGTACAGTTGGAATTTGCTGAGATGGTAGATCTTAAAGTGTTCTCACCACTACATATATATATGCACACACACACATACATGAGGGCCAAGCACTCCTGTAATCCCAGCACTTTGGGAGGCCCAGGCGGGCAGATCACGATGTCAGGAGATTTAGACCATTCTGGCCAACATGGTGAAGCCCTGTCTCTACTAAAAATACAAAAATTAGCTGGGTGTGGTGACATGTGCCTGTCATCCCAGCCACTCTGGAGGCTGAGGCAAGAGAATCTCTTGAACCAGGGAGTCAGAGGTTGCAGTGAGCCGAGATCACTCCACTGCACTCCAACCTGGCAACAGAGCAAGACTCCATCTAAAAAAAAAAAAAAAAAAAAACCACACATAAAGTTTGTACACCTCAAATATATATAATTTCTATTTGTCAAACATACTTCAATAAAGTTGGAAGCAGCAAAAAAAAGAAGTCCACATACAAAGGAAGCCCTAATTCCAGGGATGGGCACTAGGTCATGCCTGACCAATCACAGCATCACAGCCCCTACCACAGGGATTGCTTAAGGAATAGAGTTTGCTCTAATCACATCCAATAAAGTTTTGTAGAACCGCTGAGAGAGAAACACATGATCTTTCCTACTGAACTTAAATCAGGAAGGACAAAAGGCTGACACTGCCAGAAGCCTTATCACTACTACTTACAGCCTGAAGATGACATCAATCCAGGGAGAACTAGTGCCAAGAAATAGAGTGAGATTTGGATCTAGTGATATCATTTGATCCCCTGGATCAAACCATACCTGAAGCTATACTATTCCTGTACTTTTTAGTTGCACAACCCAATAAATTGCCCCCCACTTTTTTTTTCACTTAAGCCAAGATGAGCTGAGTTTTCCATTGCTCACATACAAGAGAATCCTAAATGATATGCTCTCAAGTTCAATACCCATTTCCAAATACTAGAGAGATGGTCAAACACACCTTTTAGAAATTATAAATGTCCTGCAGAAGCTGAAAAACTCTCCATGAGAGTAATTATCGTAGTTATTATCCTACTAAGAAATCTGAAACCAGAAATCTATTTTTGACTTTCATTATCCCATTTGATTAGACAATTACATCTCTGAATAACTGCTCCTCCCCCAGAGGGGCTGTTATGAAGAACAAAGGAGGATCAAAATACATTAAAATGCTTAGAACAGCACCTGACACACAGTGGCTTCTCAAAAAACCTTAGTCTCCTTTTCCTAGAATACGATGGCCAACACAAAATGCACACATATGAGAAGCTTGCACATTATCAAGACCTACACAGTTGTCCAAAATAATGTTCTTTGGACCTATTTTCCATTGAAACATGGTCAGAGCATCAAATATTTGCAAGAAGACATCCCCAACGCAGTGATACTCTTATGCTTACAAATGAGAGGCCAAAATATGTATCATATGAGGACACCACAGTGGACACTTTTGCAGAACAATTGCCACAACAGAATTGACTCCAGACGGAATTTGTCAGATGGGAAGCAGGAAGGCCTACCAAGGACAAAGTACAATGATGTGTTTGATGTGTTGACTGAGAAAAACAGTCCCAGAGAATCTGAGAAACCTGCACTGACACAGAACTACAAGGGGATGTATGTCCCAAAGCCTGGTCTTCTTTTTGAAGATGCTGCTGACGCTCCTAAGAGGACAAAGTATTACAATGGGCATGTGTTTGAAATCAGACAGACCAAAATTATAATCAAGATAATTATAATCCCTGCTTACTGGCTAAGTGGCCTTGAGCTACCTTTTTTTTTTTTTTTTTTTTTTTTTTTGCACAGGGTCTCGCTCTGTCATGCAGTGGTGTGAACATGGCTCACTGCAGTCTCAACTTCCTGGACTCCTGTGATCCTCCTACCTCAGCTTCCCAAGTAGCTGGGACTACAGGTGCATGCCAGCACACCTGACTAATTTTTTTTGATGTTGTGTAGAGATGGGGTCTCACTATGTTGCCCAGGCTGATCTTGAACTCATGGGCTCAAGCGCTCCTCTTGGTTGGCCCCCCAAAGTGCTGGGATTACAGGCATGAGCCACTGCACCCACTTGAGAAATGCACTGAGCTATTTCCTAAACTCACGAAGTCTCTGTTTTCTTATCTGTGACATTTGGATAATAATATGTGCCTGGTAGTATCTCCTTTTCTCCAAGATGTGACAGTCATAGGGATGCTCAAAGAGTCCTGTTCTCTTGCCAGGTGTGTGTAGGTCTGTACTTCCCTACCCTCTTTGAAGTCAGATGTGTTCCTGTGATTTCTTTTAGGAAGTGAAATGTGTGCTGAAGTGACTTAGGTCTGTTGAGGTGGAAGCTTTATGAACCAGAGCATGATTTGTTAATTCCTCTTCCACCTGACAAGGTGATTCTAGAAGCAAGTATCCAGATTGGACCTCTGTCAGCCTGAGCTCTCTGGTGTCTATGATGGACAAAATTCCCTGCTGAACTGCCCTGGATATGTATCATGAACAACAAATTGATTTTGAGTTGCTTCCTGAACATAACCAAACCCATCTTGTTTGATACATCAGGTTAGATCCTTTAATGTATATGAAGTCATTTGGAGATATTCATTATATACTTTAATTCACTCAAAGCTTTGAACTTCTCCATATATTACAATCAAGGTTAAGATATTTCTAGAATTGTAAGCATAAAGTTAAGAAGATTCAAACTAAAATGGACAGGATTAGAAAGGATTGATACTACTCAGCGCCAGGCAAGATGTAAGATGACAAGTATTTTCACACCCTGCTGTAAAGAATGTAAATTACCTAATTCTTCTGAAGGACAGTCTAGCCCTGTCTATCAAAATTTGACCTACTTTAGACATTTCTTCTTAGAAAATGATATACTCATGCAAAGAAGTATGAATAAAGATGTTATTGATGTACTGGTTATAAGAGTAAAATATCAGAAACAACCTAAGTGTCTAGCAATAGTAGGCTGGTTATATAAAGCATGATAAATATACATCGGGAATACCAGGCAGAACATAAAAAACAATGAGGTCAATTTATATTTTTTAATACAAATATATTTATGATATATTATTTGTAAAAGGCAAAGTAAAAATAATATATATGGTATGATTGTGTCTTCATAAATGTACATTTGCAATACTGTAAGATAAGCTACCAAAATGCTACTAATGGTTATTTTTGTGTAATAAGCTACAGTTAATTTTCATTTTTTTTTTGTTTTTCCTTTTGAGCACCTGCTTCTTTAAAAAAAACCTATAAACATATATTATTACTTTTTTAATCAGAAGAAAGTAATAAAGCTATTTCTATTCTGAAAATGGAGGGGAATGAATGGGAGGAGATTGGCAGAGGCAAAGGCAGACAGAGAGAGTGAGAGAGGGAAGGATTAAACTCAGTGCTAACCTCAGATTAGCAGCAGTGACCATGCGATTGTCTGTAAACCATGGCTGCAAGACTGGGAAACACCCAAGTTCTGTGGAGAATAGTTATGTTTAAAATGATTGTAACGACATAATACCAAAAGCTAATCAGCTACATCAGACCCTGGGAAAAGACATTTTTAAAACGTTGCACAGGGTGGAGTATAGAAAAAAAGGATTGAAACAGCCAAATGTGTCCCTGTGTCTGAAATTTCTCTGTATGATATGGCAGCCACTAGCCACATGTAGCTATTGAACACTTGAAATGAGGTTAATTCAAAGTGAGATGTGCCATAAGCATAACATAAACAATGGCCTTCAAAGACTTAATATGAAAAAAGAATGTAAACTATCTTATTAATAATTCTATCATAGATTATGTGTTGAAATAATATTTTTCATATATTGGGTTAAAGAAAGTACATTATTTAGATTACCTTTGCCTGATCATATTTACCTTTTTAATGTGGCTACTAGAAGGCTTAAAATTCCATACATGGCCCACATTTTATTTCCACTGGACAATGCTGGTCTAGATTATTGTCCTGAGGGAAGATTGTCGGCTCTGGCTTAATTTACCTAAACACCGGAGAGAATAATTTCCAATACTTTTTAAAAGTTTGGTGCTTTTTTCTTTTTCCTAAGTTGTCCACTTTTGAGCACTTTCCACAAATACCAATCTAAGGCTATTTCTGTCTATTTCTATCTAAGCCTATTTCTGTCTCAATTTCAAGTTAAAATACTAATCAGAAGATGAGAACATTTGGAGAAAGTTAGATTCAGTAAAAGGAAAACTTATTCCCTGTGACTAGGAAAACAGCATAGCATTTCACATTTTTCTGTCATCATTTTTATTTCTTTTCAACAAGGAGAAAAAGGCAGGTGGCTCATTGCAGAAAACTCAGAAGTACAAATCAACTTCTCCTTTGGGTATAATTTAAGCAGGTAGTCAGATGCTCTCCACGGATTTCTTACCAACGTAAGTTCCAGATGGACCAAAGAGACACTTTTTAAGCCATAAGAAAAACTATATGAATATTAAATGTACTGTGTATTTAATCATTGGAACAGGAAGATTTTTTAACCTACAAGGAAGAAGAAAAAAGTAGATAGATTATCTACAAATTTAAAACTACATATAAAAACGTATAGAAAACAGATGAGAGAAAATAATTATAGCAAGTATTACAAACATTACATAAACTTTCGAAAATATGTAGATCTTAGACAAACTGATTTTAAAAATACTTTCACCTTGACATGGTTTGGATGTTTGTCCCCTCCAAATCTCATGTTGAAATGTGATTCCCAATGTGATTGCCTGGTGGGAGGTGATTGGATCATGAGGGCAGATCCTTCATGAATGGTTAACACCCCTTGGTGGTAAGTCAGTTCTTGTTCAGTTAGTTCACATGAGATTTGATTGCTTAAGACTCTGGAACTACACCCTTGTCTCTCTCTGTGGCTTCCTCTCTCACCATACAATTCATCTGCTTTCCCTTTACCTTCCACTATGATTGTAAGCTTCCTCAGGCCCTCACCTGAAGCAGATGTCAGCCCCACACTTACTATACAGCTTGCAGAACTGTGAGCCAAATTAAACCTCTTTTCTTTATAAATTACCCAGTCTTGGGTATATATAGCAACCCAAGAATGGACTAACACAGAAAATTGGTACTGAGTCAGACATTGATATAAAGATACCTGAAAATATGGAAGTGGCTTTAGAACTGGGTAATAGGCAGAGGCTAGAAGAGTTTGGAGGGCTCAGAAGAAGACAGGCAGATAAGGAAAAGTGTGAAACTTCTTAGAGACTGGTTAAATGGTTGTGACTGGAATGCTAATAGAAAATACAGATACTTAAGGCCAAGCTGACAAGGTCTCAGAAGGAAATGAGGAAGTTACTGGGAAATGGAATAATGGTCACCCGTGTTATGCTCTAGCGAAGAATTTAGCTGTATTGTGTTCATGTCCTAGGAATCTGTGAAAACTTGAACTTAAGAGTGACAACCTAGGATATCTGGCAGAAAAATTTCTAAGCTGCAAAGCATCCAAAAACTGGTCTGCCTGCTTCTAACAGCCTGCAGTGAGATACAGGAGCAAAGAAATGACTGAAGGTTGAAACTTCTATTTAAAAGGGAAACAAAGCATAAAAGTTTGGAAACCTTGCAGCCAGCCATGTGGCAGAGAACAAAAAAGCATTTTTCAGAGAGGAATACAAACAGGCTGTGGAGCAACCACTTGCTAGGGGGATTAGCATGACTAAAAGGGTGCCAAGTGCTAATATCTAAGACAATGAGCAAAAGGCCTCAAAGGCATCGCAGAGATCTTGGGGACAGCCCCTCCCATCACAAGCCTGGAGGCCTAGGTGGAAAGAACGGTTTCAGAGGCCAGATCCAGGGCCTACTGTCCTGCTCAGCCTTAGAACACTGCTCCCCACATCCCAGGTGCTCTGGCTCCAGCCTTAGCTCAAAGGGGCCCAGATATAGCTCAGGCTGCTGCTTCAGAGGGTGAAAGCTATAAGCCTTGGCAACTTCCACACAGTTTTAAGCCTTTAGGCACACAGAATGTAAAAGTGAATGAGGCTTAGCAGCTTCCATTTTAATTTTAGAGCCTAGGTGCTGGGACAGAAGCCTGCCCATGGGGCAGAGCCCTGGCAGAGAGCCTCTGCTAGGGCAGCCCTGAGAGGAAATGTGGGGTGGGAGCCCCCACATAGAGTACCCACTAAGGCACTGCCTAGCAGAGCTTTGGGAAAGGGCTGTCACTCTCCAGGCCCAAGAATGGTGGAGCCAGCAGCAGCTTGCACCCTCAGCCTGGAAAAGCTTCAGGCATCAGACTCCAGCCCATCAGAGCAGCCACCTGGGCTGCATCCAGCAAAGCCACAGAAGTGGAGCTGCCAAGGCCCTGGGAACCCATGCCTGCTCTAGTGTTCCCTGGATGGAGGGCATGGTGTCAAAGGAGATTATTTTGGAGCTTTAGGATTTAATGGCTGCTCTGCTAGGTTTCAGACTTGCTCGGAGTCTGTTGCCCCTTTCTTTTGTCAGATTCCTCCCTTTTAGAATAGTAATGTTCCCAATGCCTGTACCACCATTGTATCTGGGAAGTAAATAACTTGTTTTTGATCTCACAGGTTCATAGGTGGAAGGAACTCATCTCCAGATGAGACTTGGGACTTGGGACTTCTGAGTTAAGACTTTGGAGGGCCATTATAAAGGCATGATTATATTTTGAAATGTGAGAAGGACATGAGATTTGGGGAGGCAGGGGCAGAATGATATAATTGGGATGTTTGTCCCCTCCAAATCTCATGTTGAAATATGATTCCCAATGTGATTGCCTGGTGGGAGGTAATTGGATCATGAGGGCAGATCCCTCATGAATGGTTAACACCCCTTGGTGATAAGTCAGTTCTTGTTCAGTTAGTTCACATGAGATTTGATTATTTAACAGTCTATGACCACGCCCTTCCCTCTCTCTGGCTTCCTTTCTCACCACATGATTCATCTGCTGCCCTTCACCTTCCACCATAACTGTAAGCTTCCTGAGACCCTCACCAGAGCAGATGCCAGCCCCACATTTCCTATACAGCCTGCAGAACTGTGAGCCAAATTAAAACTCTTTTCTTTATAAATTACCTAGTCTCAGGTATTTCTTTTTTTGTTTTTGTTTTTATTTTATTTTATTTTGGTTTGTCGTTGTTGTTGAGACAGGGTCTCTCTCTCTCTCTCTTTTTCTCTGTCACCCAGGCTCATGTGCAGTGGTGCGATCATGGCTCACTGCAACCTCAAACTCCTGGGCTGAAGTGAACCTCCCACCTTAGCCTCCCAAGTAGCTGGGACTATAAGTGCATGCCACTGTGCCCAGCTAATTTGTTTTTTAGAGATGGGGTCTCACTATGTTCCCCAGGCTGGATTAGGTATTTCTTTATAGCAACACAAGAATAGACTAATGCAGACTCCCAAAAGTAAAGACCTAAATTCATAATTTATCAAAGAATTATAGCTAGCAGGCCAGGTATGATGGCTTATGCCTATAATCCCAGCACTTTAGGAGGCCAAGATGGGTGGATCACGAGGTCAGGAGTTTGAGACCAGCCTGGCTAACATGGTGAAACCTTGTCTCTACTAAAAATACAAAAATTAGCCAGGCATGGCAGTGCACGCTGTAATTCCAGCTACTTGGGAGGCTGAAACAGGAGAATCACTTGAATCCAGGAGGCGAAGGTTGCAGTTAGCCAAGATTGAGCCACTGCACTCCAGCCTGGATGACAAAGATGAGACTCCGTTACAAAAAAAAAAAAAAATTATAACTAGCTAGCAAAGAATCTCATGAAAAAATGTTCAGTCTCCCTTGAAAATAATCCAATGCAAATTAAAACAAAAGATATCTATGCTTCCAGATATTTGTTTCACCAGACATATATTCCACCATATAGATATTCCATCAGATATATGTTCTGTTGTTTTATTTGGTGCTGGTGAGAATATAGTAAATGGGCACTAACTTATTTCTGTTGGTTCTAAAAATTGGTATAAACTCTTTGAAAAAATTTCCGGTGAAAAGCCTTTTGTTGTTGTTGGGTTTTGTTTTTGGAGGGTGGAGGGGGACAGAATCTCACTCTGTCACCAGGCTGGCGTGCAGTTGCACGATCTCGGATCACTGTAACCTTCACCTCGTGGGTTCAAGCAATTCTCCTGCCTCAACCTCCTGAGCTGGGACTACAGGTATGCACCACCATGCCCAGCTAATTTTTGTATTTTTAGTAGAGATGGGGTTTCATCATGTTGGGCAGGATGGTCTCCATCTCCTGACCTCGTGATCCACCCACTTCGGCCTCCCAAAGTGCTGGGATTACAGGCATGAGCCACCATGCCTGGCCTGTGAAAAGCCTTTGTTATAGTAATTCCGCATCTGGGAATCCATCTTGAGGAAAACTTACAAACACAAACAGAAAAGTCCTTATAAGCAAAAATATTTGTCCTAGCGTTATTTATATCAAAAAATTAAAGGCATCTTAAATTTTCAAAAATAAAGAAAAGCTTAAGTAAAATATAGTATATACACTCGATGGAATATTGTACAGTCAATAAAAAATGTTTGCTTAGCCTATAGACTAACATGGAAGGTAGAGTGATATAATATTCAGTGAAAAAACAGGATCTCAAATTGTATACATAGTTATAACTATGTAAAAACTATCCTCTTTTTAAAGTTAGAAGGAAATGTTCTTTTTATTTATCTTTCAGTAGTGCAACGAGTTACATTTTTCTTCTTTCTTTGTTTCTGAACTCTTTTTTAATGCTTTATAAATTAATATTATGATAGACTAAATAGTAGAAAGGAGTATGATGGTAGACCACCCCAAAGATGTCCACATCCCAATCCCCAGAACCTGTAAATATGTTACCTTACATGGTAAAAGGGACTTTGCAGATGTGATTAAGAGCACAAAATGGGAAGAGAACCTGGATTGTCCAGGTAGGCCTACTATAATCACAAGGGTCCTTTTAAGAGGTAGGCAGAGGGGCAAGAGAGAAGACAGTCAATGTGGTGACAGAAGGAGGGGGTGTAGTCACAGAAACAGATTGGAAGGAACTATACTCCTGGCTTTAAAGATGCAGGAAGGATTCCTTGACTTGTACAGTTATGGGGGGAAAAAAAAAAGATGCAGGAAGGGACCCTGAGTGAAGGCATGCAGGTGGCCTCCAGAAACTGGAAATGACAAGGAAATATTTTCTCCTAGAACCTTCAGAAGGGACACACCTCTTAAGACACCTTGATTTTAAGACTTCTGATCTCTAGAACTGTAAAATAATAAATTTGTGGGCCAGGTGCAGTGGCTTATACCTGTAATCCCAGCACTTTGGGAGGCTGAGACAGGAGGATCACTTGAGCCCAAGAGTTTGAGACCAATTTGAACAACATGGTGAGACCCTGCATCTACAAAAAATAAAATTAGCTGAGCATGGTGGTGTACATCTGTAGTCCCAGCTACTTAGGAGCTTAAGATGGGAGGATCGCTTGAGCCCAGGAGGTTGAGGCCACAGTGTGCCATGATCATGCCACTGCACTTCAGCCTGGGCAACAGAGCCAGACCCTATCCTACTTAAAAAAATAAAAAGAGGTATGTTGTCTTAAACCACTAAGTTGTGATTGTTACATCAATAACAGAAAAGAAATACAAATATATATAATTTTTATGATGGAAAAATCTTTACTTGGTTAAGACAGGCTTTATTTGGTTTAAAAGAGCCTGAAAATATAATGTGGGTTAATATTTGTAGTCCAGTATTTCTTTGTCTTTTAGGTGTCACAAGCTATAAACTGCAATCGAGCTTAAAATGTTTCTAATGAATGTCTTATTTTTTTCACTTCCACTGTCAACACAGAAATGCCTCATTACAGAGCAACAAACATTGAAGTTGGGTTAATTTGCTTAATAATGACATCTAGTGCACAAAAGTCTAAGATGCAAACAATAAGCAGCAGGAAGGAGAAGCTAAAAAGAAAAAAGGGGAAAGTTGATGAATCATAAATAAAACACTCCCTGAGTTGAGCAACTCTAGATTTATGCAAATTCAACATTGCACAAATGTTTCCAAAAGGCACACACCGCAATTTTAGAAAAAT